TATGGAATATTGATTTGTAAAGTATAGAATCCTTAAAGAAAATTCTGATTTATGTTCTGGGAATTAGACTGGTGCAATGTAAAAAGCATTTTTACTGGAGTCAGATTTGAATCCCTTAATTGCTATTTCGATACAAGTTTTGTGAACCTGGGCAAATGACTTAATTTCTGCCTCCATTTTCTTAGCTATTATATGGAGAAAAATACCCTCCTGGCCTATCCTTAGAAGCTGCTCTGGGGTTCTGAGATAATTGTTCAGCATAGTACCTGATTCTTGTTGTGCCCAAATGTAGCTGGCCAGATCACTATACTTATTTGGTATAGTTATTTTGCTTAGCAATCACTCAATCTGCGACGTGGTTGAGATGCATTTCAACCCCACTTAAGTTCTGATGAATGAAATATAGGATGGAGATACTCCTTTCTTTTTTTTTAAATTTATTTGTTAGGCGAGGCAACCTTTGGTTGACCTCACAGATTGCAAGGACCTTATCAGCTTACAATCCCTTATTTTTTAATTTTGTACACCTACAACACCTGGTCTTCCAAGGTGGTCTCCTATCCAAGTACTAACCGGGCCCAACCCTGCTTAGCTTCCGAGATCAGAGCGGATAGGGCTTGTTCAGGGTAGCATGGCCGTAGACAGTTTTCTTTATTTTTATTTTTGTCTACTTTTGAAGAGAGGTGGGATCCCTAGAATGATATTGAATACTCACACATGGTTATGAATGCTTTGATTGAAAATATCCGGGGGTGTTTCTAACGTTGGAAGTGGGTTTCTATTTTCACTTGTGCTTAGTTAGGAAGGTTGAAGTTAGAACTGAAAGAAGCTTCAGAGAGGAACGTTGATTTGTGATCCTCCCCAAAATCTAGTGTTACTCCATAGCTTTTGCAGAAAACCAAGTTTGTTAGTGTACCTAATGTCTGTGTTAGTCTAAGCCCCCATAATGAATAAACTTTGGGGAAAGAGATACTCCCATTGTGCTAATATATTTGTTTTGAATAGCCAGAGTGTACACCCTTTCCAAAATCTGGATATATGGGAGACTAATTGGTAATCTGAAGGCTACTTACCGAACTATAGCTTCAAAATTTTTAATAGTCTTTTACTAACTTCTAATGTGCTATCCTACTTCTGTCCCAAATTTAGTGGTATTGCCCATTCCCGAACCAGGGAGTTTTGAGGAAAAAGACTGATTGTTGACCATCTTTGAAGTAAAGACCTTAATGTAGATGTGTTTAAATATAACATTTATCTTTTTAAGACAAATGAGGGTTTCATGGATTAAGGACCCATAAGTTTTTCTTTTTTAATTGAATAAGTTTGACATGTAACATTGAGTAAGTTTAAGGTGTACAGCATGTTACTTTGGTGCACTTATATATATTGTAATATAATTGCTAATGTAGCGATACCCCATATACAGTACAATATTATTGTCTGCGTTCATTATACTGTACATTAGATGTCTATGGCTTATTTACTACTTGTTACAAGTTTGTACTCTTCTACCAGTCACTTTTATCCCCACCCTGCCCATTCTCTAGTAACCACCATTTTACTCTTTTTTTACAGATTTAATTTTTAGATTCCACATATAAGTGCTGTCATACATTACTTGTCTCTGACCTGTCTTGCTTAGTATAATGTGCTCAAAGGACCCATAAGTTTTGACAGGCGCTGAAGTTGGCAGAATAAGGCACCTAGGTTATTTCAGTTCATTTAACATGTTTTTATTTTATTGAACCTGTATTTTGTCCTAGATAATGGAGATACAAAAGTGAATGACACCTTGTCTTCATGAACTTAAAGACTGGTGGAATAGATAACCATAAATTGGAGACACAGTATAATGATGAGCTAAGAGATAGATATAGGATATAGTGGAGAGGCACTGGGTCCAGCCAAGGGATAGGAGATGATGGAAGGCTTCCTGAAGGGACCTTGAAGAAAGAGAGGAATTCCAGGCAGAGAAGAGATGGAAGGATAAAGAGCATGATCTGAAAGGGGAACTGTAGACAGCTTGGTGTGTAAGCTTTTGAGGTGGGCAATAGTGAAATAAGAGATTGAAAACCAATAGTGTGTAGGTCCTAGCCTTATTTCTCAGGAAGGAGCCACCTATTCTTACCTTGACTGTCATTATCGAAGTTTATTTGAAAAGTTTGTTTCGAATAATAAAGCTAGTGACTGTCTTCCCCCACCCCTATCTTAGCAGCTGTGGTATTTTATTTTGCTAATTTCTCTCCTCCAAAGACGCTCTGAACTCTCAGGGGACTTGTTTGTTGCATCCTTCAGTTATAAGCCACTCAGAATATTTATAAAATGCTTAAATATAAGGAAAAATATCTTTTTTGAAAATAAGTATTTACTGTAAGACAAAGAGAGTGAGTCTTTCATAATTTTCACTCTGTAGAAATAAGCCGTTTACCATTTTCTAAACTTAGTAAATACTTGTGTGAATGAGTGATTTGACATGAATTACTTAAATTTTATCAACTCAACAAACATCTGAGCATCTACCACTATGTGACACCTAGGAAGACAGAGATAAGACCGTAGTTTCTATTAAGTGGCCTAAGATTTTTTAGTATTATTAAAACATATCCTCAAGTGACTAGAGGAGAAATGGGAGAAATTTAAAAACCTGGTTAGCAAGTTTTACTTCTTTATATCTTTTTAACCTGAATTGCATAAAACAGGCACACAATTAAAGAAAGTTTAAAAGGAGGGAAAAACCCACCAGAGTTCTATACATAACAATTAAAATTTGCTTATTTTTTATTACACACATTTAATTTTTTCATAGTGGTAATAACATCTTTAACCTGTTTCCCATTTAGAAAAAAAGTACAGTTTGCTGCCAGTGTTAATTTTACATAAACACACTCTTCGAGGCTGAAGCAAATCTGACTGATTTTAAATGTGAAAATAAAATATAAAAACTGTTCTTGGAGTTATTTCTAAATAGAACTTCTTTCTAATCCTAACATAAGAAATGTATACATAAATCGGATTCATGACATCAATCTTTAGCTAACAATTTCGAGAATGATGTTAACGTCATGTGTAGGAATGCTGCGTTTTCTAGGATTTGACATTTTCAGCGATCGAGAAATACTATATTTTGTAAATGGAAATACCACTACTAAAAACAGAAAGCTGTAAATAGAATGATGTCATTTGTTTCCAAAGACTGTTGAGATATTTTGTAGCAAACTTTGGGGAAAAGGTTAGGATTGTAATCCATGAGTCATCTCAGGTTAAACACTACAGCCGCAAGCTCCATTGGTGAGTATTCTTGGGGAAAATGAGAACCGGGTTAAATAAAGGTTTTGTATTTTGTCTTTTAATGCTTTTTTGGCTTCCATGGTAATTTTTAATGACTTTAATAAACCAGCAAATTGTTCTACATTTCCTTGGCCATCTTCTTATAGTTTCAGTTAGCTTTTATCTTCACTTTTGTTGTTATAGTTAAAGATGCAGAGAAAATGGTATTGTCTTTAGTCGTTCTCTTTCTTTTGGATTATTTTCTTAAAATGGAATCCCAGGAATGTGAGTATTACGTCAAAGGGTATTGCCGTGTTTCTCTCCAAGAGGTGATAATAAAATTGATTAGACCATAGGGGTAAGTTATTTCCAAGAACCTTGCTATTTCTTCCCCATCCCCCACTGAGAATATGAAGGAAATTAAGGATTCTGTTGGTCAAGTGATTCCCTCAGGGCCTAAAAAGAATCCTTACCTATTTCTATGCCTCAGGACTTAGTCCTCAGACGCCTTTTTCTGTCTGTACTCACTTTTCTTGATGACCTTTTGTCTGGACCCTCATGCCTCTCAAATTTTTATATCTCTAATTTGGACCTCTTTTCAGAATTCCAGAATCATACATACAATGGCTTTTTCACTAGGTTGTTAAATTGAAGTTTTATACTTAAATTGTTCAAAACCAAATTCAAGATGTTTCTTCCCCAATCCTACTTCTGCAGTATTCTCTTATCATGGGGGATACGATACCTTCCAAGACCCCTAGTGGGTACCTGAAATTGTGGATAGTGCCCAACCCTATATACCCTATTTTTTCTATACATACATGCATTCGATAAAGTTTAATTTATAAATTAGGCACCGTAAGAGATTAACAACAACAACAATAATAAAATAGAACAGTTACAATAATATACTGTAATAAAAGTTATGTGAATGTGGTCTCAAAGTACCTTACTGTACTCACCCTTCTTGTGATGACATGATATCATACGGTGCCTTCGTAATGAGATGAAATGAGGTGAATGACTTAGGCATTGTGATATAGCGTAAGCTACTACTGACATGATGATACATAAGCTTTCTGGCTTCTTGCTGGCATATTGGAATTACCAGCATCACTAATCTTGCTTTTGGAGGCTATTATTAAGTAAACTAAGGGTTACTTGAATACAAGCACTTGCAGTGCCTCAGTGGTCAATTTGATAGCAGATGGCTGCTAGTGACTAATTGGCAGGTAGCCTATACATCATGGTTATGATGGACAAAGGGATGATTCATACCCTGGGTGGGATGAGATTGAGCAGGTCAGAACAGTACACATTTTAAAACTAATTCTTTATTTCTGGAATTTCCTATTTAATATTTTTGGACCTCAGTTGATAGAGGGCAACTGAAACTGGAAGGGGAAATCGCAGGTAATGGGGGACCACTGTAGTCTTCTTCATTTTTAGTAAATGGCAACTCAAATCTTTCCTGTATTTAAGGCATAAACCCTTAGAGTGATCCTTGACTTCTCTCTTTCGGTAGCACCCATATCTACTCCACCAGCAAATTTAATTGGCTCTTCTTACTTCTCACCCCTTTGACCAATTCCAGATTGCTTCACATAATTGTTTTATCTTACCTGGATTATTATTGTAATAACATTCTAAGCATGTCTCTGTGCTTCCACCCCAACCCCCTAAGGCTGTTTTCAGTATGGCACCCAGAGTGCTCCTTTTAAAATATCAACCCTGTGCTCGCTTCGGCAGCACATATACTAAAATTGGAACGATACAGAGAAGATAAGCATGGCCCCTGTGCAAGGATGGCACGCAAATTTGTGAAATGTTAAACATTTTTAAAATTAAGAACATTCTTTAGAATAAATATTGCTGTGTTATCTACACCAAAATGAAATAAAATAAAATGTCAGCCTTTCAAAGGCATCTATCTCACTCAGAGAAAAAGGGCATTATAAGGCATAGGTCTTCCTGTCCCTGAATCATTTCTCTGACTTCATTTCTTCCCATTCTTTTTCTTTCTCACTCTGTTTCAGCCACATTGACTTTCTTGCTGTTCTTTTGAAAAATACTAGAGTTACGTTCTTTTTTTGTGATCTCTGATGTATTTTAGTATTCAGTTCAAAATATTTTAAATTTTTTATTATGATTTATTCTTTGACCTAAGGATAATTTAAAAGTATACTTGTTAATTTCCAAACAAATATTCTAGTTATATTTTTGTAATTAATTGCTAACTTAATTACATTATGGACAGAGACTATGTTCCAAATGATTCCAGTCCTTTCAGATTGGTTGAGATGTACTCTGTGGCCTAGTACATACTGAATGCTCAAATATTCCCTGTGCTTGGAAAAAATTTAAGTTCCATAATTAGAGTGTAGGAATTTATATATATTCATTAGGTCCGATTGATTATCCACGATGAAATTTTCTAAATGCTTAAAAATGCTGTGATTTTTTTTTTTTCTTATTTGGTAATTACCAAGAGAGATTTATCTCCACTATGATTATAATTTTTATTTTTTCTTGTAGTTCCGCCAAGTTTTGCATTTTATATTTTGAGGCTATTTATTAGAGGCATACAATTTTAAACATATTTGGGTTTAAATTTACCATGTTATTTTGTGCTGTTTGTCTTGTTTTTTTCCCCTTTCCTTGCCTTTTAGACTTAAATTTTTTTTTCATTGTTCTTTTTATGTTCCCCCCATGCTCCTTCAAATTTGAATTATATATTTGATTTCATTTAGAAGTAACCCGAGAAATTACAACAGGCCTCCCTGACTTTTCAATATTTAAAATTCCCATTACCTTCTTCTCCATAGTTAATATATAAACCTTACAGACACTTAAATTCATTTACACAATTACTCCTTTGTTTTTCACATTTCAGACCTGAGATGATTTCCTTTTGTCTGAACTATATCTTTTAGAATTTTCCTTCCTGAGAGTCTCCTGGTGGTTAACTCTCAATTTTGGCTTGTCTGCAACTGTATTTTTAGCTCTCAAAAGATATTTTTGCTGGATAAAGAATTCCAGCTTAGCGTATATTTTCTTATGTCATGTTGAAAATACCACTCTACTGTCTTCTGACTTCCATTATTGCTGGGTGAGGTCAGTAGTTGGGAATTAGCAAGTACCTTCCTGCCTTAGAGGGTAATGTGTCTATTTTCCCCCTGGTTGTGTTTAAAGATTTTTTTCTTTTTTTTCTTTTTTTTTGCAGGGCAGGGGGGGTTGGTTTTCTTTATAATATTTTGATGTGTCTAGGTGTAGATTCCTGTTTAATCTACTCATGATTAGTTGGTCTCCTTGAATCAGTGAATTAGTGACTGTTTAATTCTGGTGAATTCTTAGCCAATTTTTGCTATTATTCCTCTGCCTCATTCTCTGTCTTCTGTCCTACGACTCTGATTAAGTGTATAGTTGGCCCTTCTCATTGTATGTTCTTACCTCTTATGTCTCTTACCTTTCTTTATTCCGTTATATATTTAATTACATGCGTATATACATATATGGGTATGTGTGTCTCTTCCTGTTCTTGTGTGTGTGATAAAATAAACATAACAGTTTATCCTTATAATCATTTTAAAGTGTACAGTTCAGTGACATTAAATACATTCACGGTGTTTACAAACATCATCACTATCTAGTTCCAGATTTTTTTATCACCCCAAACTGAAACCCCATACCCATTAAGCACTCATTCCCACTTCTTTTTCCTTTAAATTTTCCTTTTTGAGGGGGGTTTTGTTTATTTTTTTTTTAAAGACTATTATACCTAATTGGAATATTAGCTCCATGAGGGCAGTTGTTTTTGTCTGTTTAGATAACTGCTGTATTCTCAATATATAGAACAGTGCTTGGATATAGAAATGTTTCACTAAATAACTTTCTTGAATGGCTGAGTAATTATTCTGAGAAGGATGTTTCATAGAAATGGCTATACTGTTTATAAAGCTCACTAGTGATGATGGTAGCATCATAACCGTGTCATGAAAAGGTCATATTTACATGTTAGAAATTTAGTTTCCTCTTCCAGAAAATGGACTAATACTTCTAAGCTTGCAGTATTGCTGTGTTAATAGTAATAATATAAGTATGATACCAATCTGTTTTCTGTCTCTGTATTTGCCTATTCTGGATACTTCGTATAAGTGAACTCTCATAATACGAGGTCCTTTGTGACTGGCTTCTTTCATTTAGCATTATTTTTAATATTCATCCACGTCGTAGCATGTAGCAAGCACATTTCTTTTCATTGATGAGTAGCATTCCATTGTATAGATACATCACATTTATCCATTTATCAGTTTGATGGGCATTTGGTTTGTTTCTACTTACTTTTTGGCTATGATGAGTAATACTTCTATGAACATTTGTGTACAAGTTTTTGTGTGGTAAATTTATGTTTCATTTCTCTTAGCTGTAATATAACTTGGAGTAGTTGGGTCATATGGTAATGCCAACGTTTAATCTTTTGAGGAAATGCCAGACTGTTCCAAGGTGGCTATATTATTTTACTTTTCCAACAGTAATGTATGAGAGTTCTAATTTTCTAAATCTACCAAGGCTTGTTATTCTGTCATTTTGATTCTAGCCATCCTACTGGATGTGAAGTATTATTACCTCATTGTAGTACTGAGTTTCATTTCCCTGTATATTAGACATTTGTATGTCTTTTTTGGAAAAATGTCTAAGTCCTTTTCCCATTTTTAAAGTATTGAAATATTTGTTTTTTTATTGTCAAGTTATAATAGTTCCTTATATACTATGATTAGAAATCCCTGATTAGATACATGCTTTACAAATAGTCTCTCTCATTCTGCGAGTTGTGTTTTCGTTTCCTTCATGATGTTCTTTGAAGTACAAAAGATTTTAATTTTGCTAAGGTCCAATTTGTCTATTTTTCCTTTTGTTGCTTGTTCTTTTGCTATCATATCTAAGAAACTTTTGGCTGCTTTAAAATCACAAAAATTTTTGCTTATGTTTTCTTTTAAGAGTTTCATAGTTTTAACTTACATTTAGGTCTTTGATCCACTTTGAGTTAATTTTTGTATATGTTATTAGGTAAGGATCCCACTTCATTCTTTTGCATATTAGTAGACAGTTGTCCCAGTTCCATTTATTGAAAAGACTATTCTTTTTCTGTTGAGTGGTCTTGGCACCCTTTCTGAAAATCAGTTGTACAAAAATGTATTGCTTTATATCTCTCTCTACTCTCAAGTATGTTCCATTGATCTGTATGTCTATCCTTAATTCCAGTACCACACAGTATTGGTTATTGAAGTAATATTGGGAATTGGAATGGATGAATCCTCAACCTTTTCTTTCATTTTGAAGATTGTTTTTGCCCTCTGGGCCCCTTGTATTGCCATATGAATTTTAGGACAAACCCATCAAATTTCCTAAAAAAGGCAGCTGAATTTTGATAGGAATTGCATTGAATATTGTAGGTCAATTTAGGGAATACTGCCATTTAAACAATATTAAATCTTTCAGACTATGAACAAGGGAAATCTTTCCATTATTTAGGTCTTTTATTTTCTTTCAATGATGTTTTGTAGTGTTCAATGTGTAAATTTTTGTCACCTTGGTTAAATATGTTCTTAGTTATTTTACTCTTGAATGCTATTGTAAATGGAATTTGCTTAATTTTATTTTCAGATTGTTTATTGCTAGTGTATAGAAAATGATTGATTTTTGTAAAATCAATCTTACATCCTGCAACCTTGCTGAATTAATTTATTAGCTGTAATAGTTTTGTGTGTGTGTGTGAATTCCCTAGATTTTTGTATGTGGAGGATCATGGCATCCGCGAATAGAGATAGTTTTCCTTTTTTCTTCGCAATCTAGATGCCTTTCTTTCTCGCCCCGCTTCCAGCTATCTGTCCTGGCTAGAACCTCTAGTACAGTGTTAAATGGAAGCGGCAAGAGTAGACATTTTTGTTTTGTTCCTGACCTTAGGGAGGAAGCTTTGTTTTTCATGTCTAAGTATGTTCTTAGCTGTATGTTTTTCATAGATAGAAATTAAGAAAATTCCCTTCTATTTTTACTTTTTAGAATGGTTTTATCATAAAGATGTGTTGGTTTTCCTGCATCTATTGAGATGATCGTGTGTTTTTTTCCTCTTTGTTCTGTTATATTGATTGATTAATGTTACATAATGGGTAAATCCCGCTTCGTCTTGCGTATAATTCTTTCCTTGTGTTTCTGGATTCTGTTTGCTGTTATTTATTGAGGTTTTATCCGTCTGTTCTTTGTGTGTGTGTGTGTGATATCGTCTTGTTTTGGTATTAGGGTGATACTGGCATCATAGAATGAATTGGGAACTGTTCTTCTATTTTTTGGAAGAGTTTATGAAGGGAATAGTGTTAATATTTCTTAAGTATTTGGTAGAATTCTCCAGTTAACTGTCGTAATTCTGGTCTTTTCTTTGTTGGAAGTTTCCTGATTACTAATTCAGTCTCTTCACTTGAAGAATGTCTGAATAAATTTTCTATTTTGTCTTTTTTTTCTGAAATTTTTATTGTAGTGAAATACACTTAATGTAAGGTTTACTATTGTAACCATTTGTAAGTGGACAGTTCAGTGATATTAAATCCAGTTACGTGTTGCATAATGGCGTTTTAGTTAATGACAGACCAAATATATGACGGTGGTATAGCTTAGGTATCCAGTAGACTGTACCATTTAGGTTTGTATAAGCATACTCGATGATGTTGGCACAACGACAAAGTCACCTAATAACACATTTCTCAGAGTGTATCCCTGTTAAGCAACATATGACAGTGCATTCATGATATTGTGCTACCATCACCACCATTCATCTTCTGATCTTTT